CTCAAGTGGTATGAAAGGAAAGTCGAAGGGAATTCAGCGTGGACTGCAAGGTATTGACGGCACTGGCATAGACTTTGACTGAACCTTAACAGGATTTGAATGAGCTCTAGTCGAGACCGAGAAAGGCGGCATTAAATATGCAAATGAAAGTGCAGCCAGGTGAGCAGTTGGAGCCACACTCAGACCAGGACGCAAGAGTAACTTGAACGTTAATTTTCCGGCTCCAGTTGGTGGCGCCCATAAGTATGCAAACGTTTGTATCAAACCCAAACTTTAGTTCGCCTGAACGCCATTCACATTTTGCAAATTTTGCGCATACGGCACATGTGCCCAAGAACAACAAAAAGCACGTGGATGTGTTTGTGTAAAAGCCATAAATTTTGCTGGCAGAGACACGTCAATATTCAAATTTACTTCGTTGGCATTCGTATGACTCTCTCCAGCTGGCCAAAGGCATGGATAAACCCATAGAAGTTACCACAGATATTTTCTTTCCTCTTGTTACCAGTTGACTGCTGTTGTATCTGTTTTGATGAAATGCAAATTTATAAACAGAAAACTTGAATTGAGTAACGGGAAAACAGAGGAAACAAAAACATCATAACAAATATGACAAAGCAGGCGGGTGAATGAACAAATGATATGCAAGTCGTTCGATAGCAGAGTCTGAAAAGAATAAAGTTTGGCCTTAAATACCGAATATAAAAATGAAGGGCTGAAGATAACAGTGAAGATGATTTGAAATTCAAAACATGTTACCAGTAATTCTCCATCTATCAATCAAAATTGAGCTAAAAACGTTGTAATTTCTTATTAATTAGATGAATTTTCGTTTACGTTGATTTATGGCTTCATACCTTAAGCCTCTTTACTCACATTGTTAAATCACTTAAAAATGCCACAAAGCATAAAGTAAATTTGTAAAGCTGGGACCAGACAAAGCCGGGTCTCTGACCTCGAGAGGCAAGGAACGAGCTCTTTACTGTAGCTGCTTATAATATCCCAAGAGTGCAAAAGAGATGACAATGGGTTTCGGCTATATAATAAAATCAAAGTCAACCCCTCGCCTCTCAGTTGACGGGATTCTCCTTTTCACACAGCCAACAATGACATTGGCATCAGCTGCGACTTGGGGATGCCTCTTGGGGGATAATGAGTTTTTTCTTGGCCCACTCAAATTTACAATTTAATAAGAATCAGAGCTAAGCTAATTAATTATACATAGGTAATCAGCAGATTTTCAACAGTCGACAAGTTGTGGAAAAATTCGCAGTGTATCTTTAAATTACCTGGCCAACCTGTTGGGCCTTTTTATCCTCTGTCTGCATATTATCCGGCAAATCCATTTGTTGTATGCCCTTCTGAGTCCAATTGAAGCCAGAAATCCTTCTGTCAAGGCCCAATACCAATGCCATTCACGATTGAGAATTCTCAAGAGAAAAGAGGCAACAGAATGGAAGTCTCTCACACAATGGACATAAATGCAATACAATCTGTTATGCGAATGTGAAAAGTGTAAGCGGCAGGTTTTCATATTCAACCTGACACTGAGAAATGATTTCAATTTCTCACCTCGCCCCTTTCGGGCAGTCCTCCCGCTCAACATGGAAATCCAATTGGTGCTGCGACGTGGTTGTGAGACTTAAACCGTTGCCACAACTGATTTTGGCTTTCGCATGAAAATTCTTTTCGCTGTCTCCCCAGCTCTCCAGCTCTAAGTCTCTTTCTCTCAGAGGATGTCTGTCAGTTTCGCACCTGCCAAATGCCCACTCGAGAAGGAGCAAGTTTCTCTGATGCTCCTTCCAATCGCTTTCAGACCCTTAGACTCTTCAGCCAGCTACTGAGAATGCATTGTATTTTTCGTTTTAAATTCACATCAATCTTGAAATCTGGTTTTTCGTTTCCTGTTCGTTAGAGACAGGTCTTCGTATCGAGTACGGGCTGTTCGGTTGGGCATTGGAAATAACAGGTTTGTTAGTTGTTTCATGAGAAAGGGGAAGGAAATTGCTTGGGTGTTTAAATCGCTTGCAATCAATCCCCGAATTGCCGGCTGTTAAAATGATAAACGCCCCGTTGGGCTTATAGACTTCTATTCAGCCTAAACCACCTGGTTGCTGGTGAGGGTGGGTAAGCGCAGTGCAACAATTTTGTTGTTGACGAAGGAATTTCGGATCGATATCGCACTTAATGATTTTATTGAACCTTGGGCAGATGGAGCTGGTACTTATTGTGCAGATGGTGCAAATGGTGTCTCAATTAGAACTGAAATAGAATTGAAAAAAAACTAAAACTTTATTTTGCTTATCTGCACCGCTGTTTCTGATGATATTGTATATGATAGTTCAATTTAGTCGAACCATATTAATGTAAACATTTACTGTAGCTTAATTGTATTTTGGCTGATGTATCTATTTATAGGATATATGGCCAATTTCTGGTACATGTGTATGTAAGCAACTGAAAACAACAAGAATTGTGTACACAAATTGGAATTGTTTATAGCTGCGTATAAGAAAATGAAATAAAATTGTATTTCTAGAATGCTATTAAGCAAACACAATATTTTTCCGCACGGGGATTATTCGCTTAATGTACTCAGCTACAATCCAATGATATAAAATGATGTGACCTTCCATCTGTAAATGCAAACGGATGAAAACAGGCCTTATTGAAGCCTTTCTCTTTTAATTCGCAGATTGTTTGCTTGCCAATTTGCGTTGCCAACAGCAACAAAGCAAACTCGCATTGTTGCTCATGCAAATGTTTATCGTCAACTGCTGCGGGCTGTGTGCTCTCATATTAACTTGATTGTTGACTTCCAATTTTAATGTGGCTAACTTTAGTTAGCCATCAAAAACACCAACAGTTGGCAAATTGGCTCTTCAAATATGAGTGCATTTGTGTGGCTGCAAAGCAGCCGAAACTGAGTGTAAGGGTCAAAGATAAACATTTCAAGACTGTTCCTTAAATCACAAATTGCAAAAGGAGCTCAAAGGCAGGGCCCAGATTGCAAGGCTGTCCCACATAGAATGCTACTGACTGACAGAATGACAAAATGACACTGTGACAGACGCACAAGACACGAACGTCCCACTTCAGCTCCATCGCGAGGCTGACACTGAGCAATATGCGTAAGTGTCGAGCCAACATTACTCGTCCTTCGTATTGTGTCCTTTGGGTATGCCATGCAAGAGTGCTGACCCCCTGCCTTTTAGCACGCGACGACATCATCATTACGCAGCAGACCCATGACACTTGGCTTGCCGCACCAGGCAGTATCAGCTGCGATTCTATCAGAGGCACCTCCATTTGTTTCGTTTTAAGCTGGCGGAAGCGATTGAACCACAAAATGGCGAAGCATATTCCGAGCCGACAGACAACTGTCAGCCAAATCAGACTCGTTGCAGGGAGCACGTTTTGCCTGGTTTCTTGTTAATGATGATGACAGCAAAAGGTTTGTCTCTTTGCCTCCAACTTGACATTTTCAGCGCGCATCTGTATGCCAACGTCAACATATGTCACATCTCTCCCTACTATTCGCTGCGACGCTTGTGCCACATGTGGGGACAGGCAACTGGCAGAGGCGACATGTGTTTGTCAGCGTGTCAAGCGGTCGAGTGCATAGCAGGAGGTATAATACTATATTATGTAGAATGTGGATAGTGGATGCTCCTAAAGTATGTTAACAAATGGTTACAGATAGTTTGCGTTCTTTTGCTTTGCTGCCCTAATGCGGGTTTTGATTTTATTTCGCCTAGCGCTGTAGCATACTTTAAATAAGCTGCAATATTTTCATTACCCCCGAGCAACTTCTGTTAAATGTTTTAATGCTTCTTAGTTTTGACATTTATTAAATGCGCTGTGAACTACTACAATTTTGACTGCAAGAAGTATATTTAGATGCTGATGGAATATTGAATTTAATATTTAATTTACTTAACACACACAAAATACGTGGGTCAATTTATTGCACGCTGATAATAATTTATACACATTTTTTATGAAACAAACTTTTTGTTAGAGCGGCAAATCATCTGTCTTCAGAATTGAAATCAAATATAATGCAAATAAAAATAAACGAGAATGAAAGGCTATCTTCGACACGCCGAAGATCTAATACCCTTGCAGACCCAACCTTTTCATAATGCTAATAGTGTATTGCCCGTATCTAAGAAGCACAGGGAAAATAGTAAATTCCGAGCTTGGGCAAGATATTTAAAAAAAAAAAAAAACAAAATGTTTTTTCATACAAAAACTTAATTTTCGACCGATCGTTCCTATGGCAGCTATATGATATAGTGGTGAGATCCAGCTGGTTTTCACATATGTGTACTTTATGGGGTCGGAGATGTCTCCTTCTATGCGTTACACTCTCTGCAAGGGTATAAAAAGGAGTTGAGAAAATATAAATTTATCAGTAAAAATAAATAAAATAAATAATAACAAAGCAAAAAAAATACAAATAAATATAGAATCAATTTCTTGGATGAATAAAACGTGTTTTTTTTTTCATTCAAATAAATCAATTTGCAAAACTGCTATTGTTGCAAAATCCAAGATGATATTATCTACATGTTCGACACATTAGAATTAAACTTCATCGAATAAATCTGTATTTAGAGTATTACATTTAACTTATTTAATTTTTTTTTCGTGCAAATTTTCGACTTTTGTTTGGTAAATCGATAGTTTGCGAATCCGAGAAGTTGCACGTGTCAAGAGTTCACTTTTACAATTGCTTAAAAAAATGTTATGTAATTTTATTCCAATTTATTATTGTTGAATACCTTTTAATTTTAATATTTTCAGTATCGTCTAACTTAGAGCGCTGAGCACCACATAAGTGTTAAATTAGTTTTGATCAAACTGCGCAAACTCCGTTAACGTCAAACGTCAATTGAAAGCAGCGCTGCTTCAGTCGCTGTCGCAGTCGCTGCTTATGCTCACTTGAACGTTTTCCCGTTAACCGCTGTGTACGAGCTTTCAGTTATTTTGCGGCTTTTGTGAGCAACGCAACGTAACGCAAGGCAGCGATATATTATTGAACGGCTCGACGTAGCGAATGACGGGTTTAACGTAAGCATAGCAACAACAACAACAACAACAGCAACATATAAAAAAAAAAACACAAAAAACTATCCGGTGTTATAATGATTGCTTGCCCTGTGTCAAAGGCACGTAAAAATAGCAAAAATCGAAGTGAGCCAATAAATAAAACGGCAACGAGCCGTGTGTGTGCGTGTGTGTTTGTGTATGTGTATGTTGGTACTTGAATGTGTGTGTGTGTGTTTTTTATGTGCTTGGCTTACCGACAACAAAATAAAAGTGCCGAAGACTTGTTGTTTTAGCCATCTGCAGTGAAATTAAATGAGAAGAAAAGCCTTTTATACCCTAAACCCACTGAAAATGTGTAAAAGGGGTATATATGTAATTGTGAAAATGTGTGTAACAGGCAGAAGGAAGTATATCCTACCCCATAATCCGAGTCGATCTAGCCATGTCCGTCTGTCTGCCAGTCCGTCCGTCTGTCCGTCCGTTCGTATGTATGAACGCAAGGATATCTGAACCTATAAGAGCTAGAGACTTGAAATTTTAGCTGTAGGTCCTCCTAGTGCCCGCGCAGATCGAGATTGCTTCCGATATTCCATAACTTGTCGCGTTTCCAAGTAATTGACAAAAATCGATATCGAAATCCTGTTTTTTGAGCAAATTGGGTAAATAATAAGAGCTAGAACCACCAAAAGTGAAATGTTTACTCTAGAATAGTATATATGTATATATATCAAGTATCTTTCATTTTATACCCATCGCCACCTCCCCGCTACTACCTCATAGCTATAAATCAAGTTAATAACCCAACTTCTATTGCCCACCAATTGAAGTTACAATTTTAATGCAATTAACTTTTTGGGTATACACAAATATTCTATGGTACAATAAGATATACTATAGAAAAGTTCATTAAGATCGGTTTTTGTTTTGTTTTTAGGTATTTTGACTACGCACGTGTTTGCGACTCAAAATCCAAGAATTTCTGTATACATGTGCACACACATATTCATGCGCGTCTGCTTCGACTTCCATTGTATTGTTTTCACTGCTGCTAGTTTAATTAGTTTTTTTTTCTCAATAAGAATCAATTATAGATGTCGCTTGCCACCGCGGCAAGTGGCGTTGTATGTCGCGACTTTGAGCCCTATCCATAAAGCTATTGTCTTTGTTTTTTTGGCTGGTGTGGCTGTTGAGTAGAGACGGCGGCAAGTAGTACAGTTAGTTGCGAGTTCGAGCCCTGACAAAGGATCCTTTGCATTTGGTGTTAGAATAAGAGGGTTCAGGGTATCCCCTAGTCGGGAAATCTCGACTAGAATCTCTTACTTGTTTTTAAATGCCGCAGATTACGTACACTTACCAAATAATTGAATAGATATAGATATATAAGATTGTTGTATTTTGATCTACAGAAGAAATATAAATATAAAAGTTTTGAATACATTTATTTATTTAAAATTGGAATAACAATTTTTTTTTATAAATTTTACATTAGCAAAAAAACAAAGAAATAACACAATAATAATTCATTGAGTGGTGTAGGCTCGCTTTTGCCTTCTGCAAGTCGTCAGACATTTTATGATAACCATTTGAAAGTGTATAAAAATACTATTAGCATTGCAGATTACGTTGCTATATGGTGAAAAACTACTATATTTTTTTTTGGTTTTTTGTTTTAGTGAAATTAACTACTTGCACTCGCACCTCCTGTGTGTGTGACACAACTTTACATACGAATAGTATAATGGCGTGCCTCGTTTTTGGAGTCTTGAATACATTTTCCGCGTGGCTCCCGCTTGTTTGGCATACTGAAATTACAGGGCAACGGTCGACATGGTCGCACATGATATTAAGCGCCATATGAATTTAACCTCCTTTACAATATGCATGCGGTTTACATGGCGTATGAGCAATATTTTAATTAAATGCTAAAATAACTCAAGCGTCAAAGTCTGCAACTGTCGGATTCGCTATTCTGGCTCCTAATTAAGTTGCTTTCTATGAGTGTGTATGCATGTGTGTGCATGTATGTGTGTGCTCTCAATAAAAGCTCTACATAAAGTTTGTATATGCCTTGAACAGCATGTTGATTCTATAAACAGCCCCTATGTGTATCAGTTCAATTGAAAACAGAATTCAAGTGAAAAACAACAGTGCGATTCGAAAATCGACAAAATAACATAAACATAAAAAGTTTCGAATACGAAAATCAACTATATGATTCAATTTATTTAAGCCGACTGACAAGTAAGTATTTCTCTTTTTTTATATTTACGCACTGTATTACCCGTAATATGTATTTATAGCTCATTTAGTCATGCAGTAAGGTATGGGCAAGAGCCGCGCAAAAACATTCTCTTATTGAAGAAATTTATCAAATTATAGATCAGCTATTACAAAAATTATAAGAATTTTAGAAATGTGTAAGGCATTAAGACAACACATATTGCACTGAAGTAAACTAATTATAGCGTGAACCCTTTGAAAATGGTTTGGTTTTGTGGACATCTATTTAACAGGCAGAAGTCAGCATCTCCGACCACGTAAAGATCAAGACCATACGCAGAAGAGTTAAGCATTATTAGAGTTAGCTGAACATAAGAGCCAGAGCCCTGCGATTTGTTTTTTATTTTTATTGGAAGGCATATTTATGCCCCAAATATTTTATTAATATCGAACTATAAGCCCCGAATCTATTCAAGAATACATTTAACTTGGTGTGGAACAAAGTGAAGACTAAATAACTGACAAAATAACTTCTGTTTGTTTGCTTTTATTTTAAAACGTTAAAAGTTAGACTTCTAAATCTAGGACATGTCGCTTTAAATACCTATGAATGTGAAAGAAAAAGTGATTAGGCCTGATCAGCTCATTGTATTTGTAGTTTATATTCTCAAATCAATCAACATTTGCAGCTGTTGCAAATTTGTATTGAAAGCAATTCATTTGCAAGCAATTGCCACATGTATCAATATGCAAATCTCGCTTTGTACATAAGTCCCAACTTGTCTCATATCATTTCCCGTATCCTTTCTCTCTCTCTCTCTCTATCTCTCTCTCTCTCTCTCTCTCTCTCTCTCTATGGCGCATGCGGTGCCAGCTGTACTGTCAATATGTCCGACTGTCATTCAACCTTAAAGCCATCCACCCACAAGTAGAACGTTGCGTTACGTTCAGCCCGTCAGTTGGCATTTTGGCATATTTAATTATCTGTCAATTCATCAGCGCGTGGGCATTATATGTATGTTGTTTGTCTTGGCTACGTTGATACAAAGAAACAGACAAAAAGCTTACACAGCTGTAATAATAACAAAAGCATAGTAAACAACAAAGTGAACGGCTTCAGGAATGTTTTCATATAAGTCGCATTTGACATAACAATGAAAACCAGGTGAATTACACTAACACGGGCAACCTGAAGACATGGAAGAGGAGGGTGAAATGAAAGCTGGAAGGCTAAGAAAATTATGTATATCAAGTTTTAATAGCAGTTGCTGAGTTTAACTTGAGCCAAGTCACATTCAATTAAAAGCAACTATCACATTACGTATACGCAGTGTGTGCAGCTAAAAATAAGCAGCTGTCAAGTGCTTCTATGTTTGATTCTGTGTTTGTGACCTGTCTTGTGCGTGTGTGTGCGATGGTTATCTGCTGTCATAATAATTGTTAAGGCACTTTTGCGGCACTTAAATCGCGTGTTGTCCATTTGCGACCACATGGCATGTCGTTGCCTGGGAGTGGAGGTTTCATCCATTTTTGTCTATGCTCAGCGTAATTAGCCACACATTACAAAGAACACATTTCCTCAAATGTATATTAGATTTTTGGGAGCATAATTTACAAAACATCGCAAATGTGTGCTAGAAATGAGATTCTTCTATCGTCGTAGCTTTTGTGAATTTGTGTATTAGCTTGTATTCCATTTTCTGTTTCAATATGTATCATCGACAAATACTTGATTTATATCTTTTATCTATCAATCTAAAACAAAGTAAAAACTTACCAGATATTTGACTTCTGCGAACCCGACAGTTGCCAATAGAATGTTAACTTATTTGTATCTTTCAAATTTTAAGTCTAAGTTAAAAGAATTTGTTTACAGCTTATTTAAAATAGTCACCTACAATAATGTGGCCCTTGTGTATTATGTGGCAACTGTTAAGTCCAACAAGCATGCGAACACAAACTATCTGCGACAATTTCTTGACGTATTTCAAACCATATCAGGGACATCCACATACCCCACTCCTGCATATTATTATATTTTTGTATTTTGTACTCGTGCTGTGAGCTCGGCCGCTTGACACGCTGACAAACACATGTCGCCTCTTGCAGTGTTTGTTTCCACTTGTGGCACAAATTTCGCAGCAAAGAGAACAGAAAAAGAAAGAGAGTGAGATAGAGAAAGAAGTGACATATGTTGACTTTATTATCGCCATAGATAAGCGCTGAAAATGTAAGGTTGTCCAAGTGGTTTTTGTCAACAACAGCAGCAACGACAGCAACACAAAGAGGCAAACACCTTTCGCTGTCATCATCATTAACAAGAAACCAGACAAAACGTGCTCCCTGCAACGAGTCTGATTTGGCTGACAGTTGTCTGTCGGCACGGAATATGCTTCGCCATTTTGTGGTTCAATCGCTTCCGCCAGCTTAAAACGAAACAAATGGAGGTGCCTCTGATAGGAGCGCAGCTGATACTGCCTGGTGCGGCAAGCCAAGTGTCATGGGTCTGCTGCGTAATGATGATGTCTTCGGGTGCTCAAGGAGGCAGCGGGGGTAAGCACATTCACATTGCATGCCCAAAGGACATAATACAGAGGACGAGTAATGTTGGCTCGACACTTGCGCATATTGCTCAGTGACAGCCTCAGAGCTGAAGTGGGACGTTCGTGTGCGACTGTCACAGTGTCATTTTGTCATTCTGTCAGTCAGTGGCATTCTATGAGGGACAGGCTTGCAATCTGGGCCCTGCCTTTGAGCTACTTTTGCAATCTAAGGACGAGGCTTGAAATGTTTATCTTTCGGTTGCTTTGCAGCAACATTTGGTGTTTTTGATGGCTAACTAAAGTTAGCCACATTAAAATTGGAAGTCAACAATCAAGTTAATATGAGAGCACACAGCCCGCAGCAGTTGACGATAAACATTTGCATGAGCAACAATGCGAGTTTGCTTTGTTGCTGTTGGCAACGCAAATTGGCAAGCAAACAATCTGTGAATTAAAAGAGAAAGGCTTCAATAAGGCCTGTTTTCATCCGTTTGCATTTACAGATGGAAGGTCACATCATTTTATATCATTGGATTGTAGCTGAGTACATTAAGCGAATAATCCCCGTGCGGAAAAATATTGTGTTTGCTTAATAGCATTCTAGAAATACAATTTTATTTCATTTTCTTATACGCAGCTATAAACAATTCCAATTTGTGTACACAATTCTTGTTGTTTTCAGTTGCTTACATACACATGTACCAGAAATTGGCCATATATCCTATAAATAGATACATCAGCCAAAATACAATTAAGCTACAGTAAATGTTTACATTAATATGGTTCGACTAAATTGAACTATCACATACAATATCATCAGAAACAGCAATGCAGATAAGCAAAATAAAGTTTTAGTTTTTTTTTTATTTCTATTTCAGTTCTAATTGAGACACCATTTGCACCATCTGCACAATAAGTACCAGCTCCATCTGCACAATGTTCAATAAAATCATTAGCTGCAATATCGATCCGAAATTCCTTCGTCAACAACAAAATTGTTGCACTGCGCTTACCCACCCTCACCAGCAACCAGGTGGCTTAGGCTGAATAGAAGTCTATAAGCCCAACTGGGCGTTTATCATTTTAACAGCCGGCAATTCGGGGATTGATTGCAAGCGATTTAAACACCCAAGCAATTTCCTTCCCCTTTCTCATGAAACAACTAACAAACCTGTTATTTCCAATGCTCAACCGAACAGTCCGTACTCGATACGAAGACCTGTCTCTAACGAACAGGAAACGAAAAACCAGATTTCAAGATTGATGTGAATTTAAAACGAAAAATACAATTCATTCTCAGTAGCTGGCTGAAGAGTCTAAGGCTCTGAAAGCGATTGGAAGGAGCATCAGAGAAACTTGCTCCTTCTCGAGTGGGCATTTGGCAGGTGCGAAACTGACAGACATCCTCTGAGAGAAAGAGACTAAGAGCTGGAGAGCGAAAGCCAAAATCAGTTGTGGCAACGGTTTAAGTCTCACAACCACGTCGCAGCACCAATTGGATTTCCATGTTGAGCGGGAGGACTGCCCGAAAGGGGCGAGGTGAGAAATTGAAATCATTTCTCAGTGTCAGGTTGAATATGAAAACCTGCCGCTTATACTTTTCACATTCGCATAACTGATTGTATTGCATATATGTCCATTGTGTGAGAGACTTCCATTCTGTTGCCTCTTTTTTGTTGAGAATTCTCAATCGTGAATGGCATTGGTATTGGGTTTTGACAGAAGGATTTCTGGCTTCAATTGGACTCAGAAGGGCATACAATAAATGGATTTGCGGATAATATGCAGACAGAGGATAAGAAGGCCCAACAGGTTGGCCAGGTAATTTAAAGATACACTGCGAATTTTTTCACAACTTGTCGACTGTTGAAAATCTGCTGATTACCTATGTATAATTAATTAGCTTAGCTCTGATTCTTATTAAATTGTAAATTTGAGTGGGCCAAGAAAAAACTCATTATCCCCCAAGAGGCATCCCCAAGTCGCAGCTGATGCCAATGTCATTGTTGGCTGTGTGAAAAGGAGAATCCCGTCAACTGCAAGGCGAGGGGTTGACTTTGATTTTATTATATAGCTGAAACCCATTGTCATCTCTTTTGCACTCTTGGGATATTATAAGCAGCTACAGTAAAGAGCTCGTTCCTTGCCTCTCGAGGTCAGAGACCCGGCTTTGTCTGGTCCCAGCTTTACAAATTTACTTTATTCTTTGTGGCATTTTGAGGTGATTTAACAATGTGAGGAAAGAGGCTTAAGGTATGTAGCCATAAATCAACGTAAACGAAAATGCATCTAATTAATAAGAAATTACAAAGCTGGTAACATGTTTTGAATTTCAAATCATCTTCACTGTTATCTTCAGCCCTTCATTTTTATATTCGGTATTTAAGGCCAAACTTTATTCTTTTCAGACTCTGCTATCGAACGACTTGCATATCATTTGTTCATTCACCCGCCTGCTTTGTCATATTTGTTATGACG